TGTCCTTTGTCTGGTCAAAATCTCTGTTGCAATAACTCCAAGACTATAAATATCTGATACTTTAGTATATAGTTAATCTACCAAAACCTCTAGTGCTATATATAGCAGAATTCTACAAACTTTTCCATCCTTTACTTTTTTAGAAAGTTCAAGATCAGTGATATATACATTTTGCAAATGATCTTGCAAAATATTTTTACTGTGTAAATTTTTATGAATGAGTTCCTATAAATGAATTGATTTAAGCTTCAAGGAATGCAATACAAAATATTCAATTTATCTTTCTATTTCTATTGTAATACTTTTACAAGATTTGTCATAACAAACCTTTTGCAACTTTACAGAATCTTTGATTTTTGCCAAATATATATGCTTTATAATTATTATATAATAAAAATATAATAAAAATATTTTTTTAGCCTGTTAAATTACTATTAATTTGCTTGTTATCATTTTACTAAAATATAGGCTTTGCTAAGATATTGATAATATTGGTAATATTATTTAATTATTTTAAACAGATTGTTACTATATTATTAAAATATTATTTTATTATATTACTATTAGATAATAAAAAGATATTTCTAATATTAAACCCATATTACAATTATATTATAAATATATAATATTCATCAAATTAAAAGTGATTTAATAGAGCAAAAAAAAATATTTTTAAAATATGATAATAATATTTTTAATATATATTTAACATATATTTATAATAAAAGTGTGGTGACTTAGTAAAGTAGTGGAGTTGTTGCACCCCAAGATGGCAGATCTAGAGTTCGAATCCAGCAGATGACAATTTTGAAAAAAAACTAAATCTGTATTGGTTAATGTTAAGATTATTAGTTGAATCCAGATATCTGTAATCTTGGTTACACCATCTCGAATAGGAGCTTTGATGCAATAAATCCAAGAAACTGTAATTACTAAAAACCTGTTTGGCAAGTTCTGAGTGTAGAGTAGCAGTGATCTTTGATAATGCTAAAGGAAAGCCAAATTTGGAACTAAGAACCGAGACTGGAGAACTAATTGACCAGATCCTTAAGTGGGGGGATATACTAGCCAAACTGCTAGATGCTAACCAGAGAAAAAGGACATATGCTCCAGAAGTATGTATCAAGGAGAGAGCAACTATGAAGCACCTAAAGCCTGGGCAGACCAACCCTTCCAGGTTGCTAGCTGGAAGTAAGGGAAGGACTGGTAAGAAATTCAGAGAAAAAGGAAGCTGGAATATAGGTACCGGGGTTGTTGTAAACCTCATAAGAGCAAGGAGTACATAATTAGGAAGGTTGTAACTTGAGATATGGATTGGGTTATAGCAGTATCTGAAAAGATAGCTTGAGATATGAACTCAATGGCAGCAGCACAACAAATACTAGTTGGAAAAAGTTACCAAACATATAGATAAGTGCATGTATAGGACATGTACCACACTGTTAGGTTTATCACAAGGATAAATGCCTATGTGGCTAAAGTTTTAGAGTCATTTTATAGTATTGCTAATCTTAATAGAGTGTTAGAGTAGGTGTGTTACAAAGATGAAGCCAGAGGGTTTAAATGGGTATCCCCCTAGTTGGGGTGCAGGTATGGTAGCTAGTGTGGAACCTAGAGCAGACTATTTAAAATAGGTAACCAAAAGTTGTATGTATAGCTAGTCATACTCTCATTAGTAATAATCAGAGAGCTTAAATAGGTAATCTTCTAGTTAGGTTGCAGGTATGGCGGCTAGTATAGAACCCAGGCAAACCACTTAAATTAGATACCAAAAGTACACGTGTGGCTTGATGTACTCTCGTTGTAACTGTATAACCTGAAGTTAATAAGTTAATAAAAAGTTCCTGGCAGTAGAGGTTACCTTAACACCAAAAAAAAAATATATATAGAGTACAAAAAAGGAGTATAGCAACCTAGTGAAGTGGTAGAGTTGTCACCTCCCAAGTAGCAAGGTCTAGGGTTCGAATCCTACTGGTGACAAAAATTTGAAAACTATATCTTGTATATCCTTTCAGATATATCAACTTAATCTGCAAGTGGTATATTATGCTATAACTGGTTGAAATGTCACCAAATATTGGGAGTGCTACTTTGTATAACAAGATCTTTGAGGAGTATTTATCTAATAGGATAAAGGAATGCAAGCCAGTCCAAGTCAGTGCAAATACAAGATAAAACTTTAAGATAAATCTTAATACCGAAAAAATGTAGCACAACAAAAATGGTCAGACTAACCAGATTAGGAAGAACTACTTGCAAATCCTGAGTATAATATCTAATTCAGAAAAGGGGCCAAAGTAAAAGGATTGGTGACTCTTAAACAAGGTCCCAAAGTAAGAGTTTGGCTCTATATAAGAATTAGAATAGGCATATATAGAGTAGAAATATATAGTCTAGCAAATCACAAACAATATTCATTACATGTATTACAAACACAAACACTTACTATTTAAATAAAGGTCTTCTGCAAAAACACATTAAAGCAGCTACTACCTCTAAGATTATAATGTTCTCTACATAATATAGGCTATTCTTAGAGGAGAATGATATAAGTAGGTGGGCAGGAAAGCCTATTTACATGAAAGAGCCAATAACTAATAGTTAGACTCAATGTATACAGCAGACTTTGGCATTATCTTGTATAGCTGTAAGAGCTAGGCATACAGTAAACACCTTTGCAGAAGACCTTTCTTCTTTTTCAATTACCAATTCACTCCACCCTATTGAGAAAACATGCTTTAACAAATTTCTTTACAAACACAACCTTCCGCTTTTGCCATCTTCTCAAACTCTCAAGTCTTTTTTACAACATCTTCCTAAAAATTCCTTTTTTCAATCTTACAAAATCTCTGTTAATACTATAATACTTAAAACATATATTTATCTTAATACTTCTGATATCATCTTTCTAGAATATGTTTTACTCTCTTTTCAACAATACTCCATCTATTATAAATCTCTTATTCGATCCTTCTATCCCTTTCCTAATCACCTCAATCTTACTATAGCAACTTATAATGTTAGAGGCTTTAATATTGCTTCTAAGAGACAAATATGACAAGATTACTGCACCAATTATAATATCTCTATTGCCTCAATAACTAAAACCAAAATTTTTCACAAAACCAAACTTTCTTTTTGTAATAATAACTTTTATACCTACTATTGGTCCAACTCAGAAAGCTTTATTGAAGGAACTGCTATTATGATTCAAAACTATCTAAAACCTCATGTATATAGCTGCTATACCTATCTAGAAGGTGCTCTTGTACTGGATCTCTTTTTTAAAAGCAATATCAAATTACATATTATATCAGTCTATCTTTCCTCTACTAGCTCAGCAAAACAAAACCTTACCCAAAATACCATGATTAACTAGATACTACAAGCCAAACAACAAAACCTGTACTCTATTGTTCTTGATAACTTTAACATCCATAATGATACTAGTAGCTCCTCAACTAAATACAAACTTATTAACTTTTTTCACCACTCAAACTTATTCGATATTGGTGCCTATCTTAACAACACATATCACACCTGGTCTAATAATATTAGCTCTAGCTATATTGACTACATCTGAACTGACTTATTCAACCTACAATTTCTTTTCAACTTTAATCTTAACAATAGCAAAACTAGTACTTTTAGTAATTATCTAATCCTATTATTATTCTGGACCTTTCCTCATACATTCAGCAAACCTCTTGCTTTCGCACTAATATTAGTCAAAGAATCTTTGACTACAAATCAATCTCCTCTGACCAATAGACCCAATACTTTGATCTTGCTCACTATCTCTTTTCCCAACACTATATTCCTATACATGTTTACACCTCTAAAAGTATTAACACTACCTGGCATAAAATATAATACTGTATTATACAAGCTGCTACTCAAACTTTTCTAAATAAAATAACTCGCAAGCATAGTTATAACCACCAATATAGTGTACAATGCACAGCTCTTCATATTGGGCTTAAAAAGTTAGGCCACTTAATCAAAACTATTAACAACAACAATCTTAATCTATCTTGTATGCACCTATCCCATATCAATGCCAATATATTAATTAACAACTCTAATTATTTTTAAAATAACATCTTACTTTTTCACTTCCTCAAGATAATAGTGGTATTATAAAAATAAACACATCTCAATATGCAGTATCGATATTTGTTTACTTTTAATAACACAATGCTGACTTGCCTTTGGCAAGTTGCTGTTTATATATTAACTAAAAATATATATATCAAATATTGAATAAAAAAAATTTATAAATTAGATGAAAATAGTATAAAATTAGAAAACGAAATAAAAGTGATAAATTAATTATTGGTTTTTTTGAATTTGGTGAGCCTAAAATTTAATATTAAATAAAAAATATAAATAAAATAAATTAATTTATTAAAAATAATTAAATCAAAATTAAATAAATATAAATAAACACAAAATTGCTAAATCAAATAACAATTATAAAATGAATAATCTTTTTGATATTAACAAAGATGGCAGTATCACATATAAACCATCATTCTGCATATATATCTTTGATAAAAATAATTATGAATTACTTTGGACCCATTTTTTTACTAATTATTTAAATATTTGTAAGAAAAATGAATATATATTAAAAATTTTACAAATTCTTTTTTGCACAAATAAAAAAATAGATATTATTACAGATATTTTTACAATTTATTATTTTAAAAATAATGAAAAATATATGTTTATATTTTTAAAAAACCAATTTTTTAATAGATTATTTGTTTTTCTTAACGATAATATAGTAAACTTAACAAATATTAATAAAAAATTTTCTTTTATGTTTCTTTTTAATTCTATCGACTATACAATAGAAAAACTTGCTGACTATTTTGTTTTTACTGCTAATGTAAAACATGTTAAAATTACTAAAAAACAAAACATTATCTGCGAATCTAATATTTTTAAAAATATTTAAATACATGTATAATTCTTATAAAATAAACAAAGTTAAAATGTCAGTAATTTATCAAAAATTTCAAGTGTATGATAATTACACAATGAAAGAATTTCGATTTGATAACAAAAAGAATAAAATAACTCTAGTGATGTAGATTTCTTTATCTGATATACATGAGTATGAGCATTCTGAATTTTTAAAAGAATGCTTAACCAATCAATCGCAAAGATCTCTATTAAATATAACTGAAACAAAGATATTAACTAAAGAGGCGATAGATAAGTTTTACAAAAAAATTTTACCAAATTTAGATTTGAAAGAGATTAAAATTTTAAAAATCAATTTGGCGTATTAGCCTGAAATAAATATTGCAAATTTTATAAATCGAGATAATAAAAAATTTAAAATAAGAATCGATAAATATTAACTAAAATAAAAATATAAAAAGATGAAATGATTTAAAATAAAGCAAAAAAATGGAAAACTTAATAATGATATTTACTCTACATATTTGAAATATTGTTGCCAAGACAAAGAGAAAAAATTAAAACAACTTGTCAAAAATTTCACAATGTTTATGTTAGAAGCTTGAAAACAAGAAGAGATATTAATCCCAGATAACATATTTTCTTCCGCTTATATAAAAAAGATTAAAAATTAAATCAAGATTTGCTTTTTTATGAAATTAATTATATTCAAAATGGATTTGTATATTTTAAAGGCAAAAGAACAAACACAACGCAAAAATGTAAAATTTTAAATAACAACTTTGATATTTTATATTGTAAACTACAAAATAATTTTGTTTACATTTACGAAAAAAAATTTAAAAATGAGATACTAAAAGATTTTTGTGAAAGATATAATAAGATAGATTTTTTGTTCAAATATAATACAATGATTCTATACTGTAGAATTATAAATTGTAAACAGAAACTATTTTGCTTTGAAGATCTATTTAATTTTACCGATATAAAAAATACTTATTGCCAACATATTTTCTGTTCAAAATGTTTATTCAAACTTAGCTTTGTATATTTAAAAAATACTTTTTTTAATTCTATAACAAAAATATTTATTATCAAATTAGATTTTAAAAATACTAATTTTACTACACAATATTTTTTAAAAAATATTATATATTAACATGAATAAATATATTTAAAATATAAAAAAAATGGAAGAACTACAGCTTATGGGAGGTGAGATACTAGTTGAACAAAATAAACAATTGGCAAATGAAATCGCATATTTGAAACAACAAATTCTTACATTAATTAAAGATAAAAGAGTTGTTGAAAAAAAATTGAGACTTAGCAGCACAGAAAAATGAAAATATTATTTTTTTTTAAAACATAATGGAACATTTAAATTATATTAAAGAAATAAATAAAAAAATAATGAGCTATATTAAAAAGATATATTTGATTATTTTTTTAATTGTGTTGATAATAGGATGATTTATGGCCAATCAAAATCATTCAACTCAAAATCAATATATTTTTATTCAAGTTTAAAATCTATATAAATAATACTGTTCGAATTATTCACAATAAAAAATAAAATTTTTTCTGTTGTTTTTATTCTTATTAAAAACTTTAATATTGATTAATTGTGTAAAAACTCCTAAACAACAAGTTTTTGTTTAAATTGAAGAATGATTAGATCAACTTTACATCTGGAATTTTAAAAAAGGTCGCTATGAAAGAATTTTGAATAAAAATGGACAGATATGTAAAAGTTATCCCGGTGGAATTTATCTACAAACTTTTTGAGGATTAAGCAATACACTACAATACAAACCTGTTTATAAACCAAAAGGTGCTAACGTTAAAAGTCCACAAAAATGAAGTTGTTTTTATTTTATTTTTATTTTATAGCAATGATTAGAATAGTTTACAGTCATAAATTATTAAATTGTTTAGAAAAGATTTCATTGGAGAATAAAAATATCAATAATGAATTTGAATATACTGGATCTTTTAATTACAATAATATGAAACAATTAGTAAATAAATATAATCAAATTATTGATAAATACTTGCTAAAAGAATGGGTCTTATTATATAAAATGAATTTGTCACTGTTTGATAATTACACATTGCATATAAAAACAATTATTAAAGAAATGCAATCAGGTAACAAAAAAATTATAAAAATAGCCAAATGAATTGTTGATATCGTTGATGAGTTGTAATTCTTAATAAATATTTAATTAAATTAAAAAAAAATAAAATCCAAAGAAAAAATTACAAAAATTATTAAAAAATCCAAATCAAAAAAAGAAATGATAAATAAAATTCATAAAGAAGATCTGTATTTTTTTACAAAATATTTTTCAAACATTGATAAAGCATCAAGTTACATGTTTGATGAGTGGAGTGAAAATGAAACTGATTCAAGTAGTTTAGAAACTTCTAGTTTAGAATTTGAACAAAAAAACACAAAAAATTGTTAAAAAAACATTACAGTATAATTTGTTTATAAAAAAAAAGATACAAAAATTAAAAGATAAAAAGATTGAAAGTAAAAATCAATTTAAACTAGCCATGCAAAGATGGAAATCAAGCTCTAAAAATCTGAAAAATTATATAAATAGTTAATATTCTAAAAAAAAATAAATCAAAAAAAAAGGTTTTTTAAACAGTTGCAATTCCAATACCAAAATTGTTGCAAAAATCAAAGAATTAATCACATCAAATCCTAACAAGCATAAATATAAAATTTCAAAAAGTATCTATTATAAGAAAGATGATAATCATGAATTTATCATTAATAGCTAGATTAAAACCTACAAAGAATTAATTAAAAAAGATGAAATTGATAAAGATATTCTAGATAACCCTATCATTAAATTAAAAATTGATGATAAACATGCTAATATTTGTTTATTGTATTTTACTAAAAAAAATAAAAATAATAAATATCAATATATTGAGATAAATACTATCATATTTGCAAATTTTAATAAATTAGAATATAAAAAAAAACAATTTATTCAAGATAATATTATAGAATTAGCTAGAATTGTTTTTAAACCTAGCTATGATTATCATTTTTAATTTTTTCAAATAAATATAAATAAAGGCTGCTTATTTTTTTTTTAATCTAAAACAAATATCATACATATTATTGAAAACAACTTGTAAATTACGTCTTCAATTATACAATAAAAAATTTGCACTATGCATAAAATAGAGAAATTGGCTTAATAATCAAAAAAATAAAATAACAAAAGAAAAATTTAAAATATTTTTTACAGAATGGAAAAAATTGAATAAAAGACTCAAAAAAAATCAAATTAGAAAAAAAAATCAATATCAAGGATTTTACAGATCTATCAAAGAAAAAAAAGATAAAACCACCAAACAACAAAAGAATACAATTGCCAAACTGTACGAAAAATCACAGAACAAACAAAGAGAAGCAAATGAAAGATATAGAAATACTTGGGATATGCATAACACCAGAATGGCTACAGAAAGAAATAATGTTGATAATGAAAAATTGCTAAAAAAATTTACAAAACAACAGAAATTAATGGAAGAACTTACTGCTCAATTAGAGAAACATAATAAAAATATATTGAACAAACTTAAAGAACCATTAGGGTAGTGACATTTATTATCTGATTTTTTTTTATCAAAGGCTTACCCCCCCCTCTAGCTCTTAATATATAATTGATTAGGTGTTATTTATAAAATTTTAATTTTTTTGACCCCCCTCCCCTAAAAAATCACCTGATAAATGTCTATACTCTTAGATACTTCTGATATTAAATAACTATCCCTTATTCTGTAGAGTTAAGCAGGCAAATTTGTCTACATAATTACTATAAATATATCACTGATCTACTTTTTTAATTATTTAAAATATTTAAATAAAATTTAATATGATATTATTTGAAAATAAGGATTATATTTTTGCAATATTTGTATTTATATTATAACAGTCAGGGAATATGTCCCGTAGATCGATTTCACATAATAATGTTACACAAAGATTTTATACTTACTATATCGATCGTTAAAAGAAAACTTACAAAACCCTCTAATTATTC